AGGGCCTGGTCTGCCTGGGGCTGATTCCAGGCCTCGGCTGCCCGTAACTCGGAGAGGCCGCGTTTCAGTGCCGCCTGCAGCCCTCGGCCTGTCCCAAGCCCCTCGGGACTGCCACGGGCGGCCAGGGCACGGCTCCGGCTCCGGCTCCGGCTCCGGCGGCAGGGCAGAAAGGAGGCGGGGCGGGGCGGGCCCCCGGGAACGCAGACCCACTTTCCTCGCACTGCTTTGCTCCTGTCTCTGAGCAGAGTATCGCTGGGCAGTGTTTGCTGGCTCCTTGGACTCATTTGAGGGCCACTGGGCACTGTCCTGTGGGCTCTGCTTGGTGGCCCGCTTGGCGCACTTGTTCTTCTTTTCATTATTTGTCCCAAGTACTCAGCTGTCACCTTTTCCGTAGCCTCCCCACCTGAGGGAAGCCAATAAGTTACTTGGCAGGCTTAGGCCCACATCCCTTAAGGCAGCACTTCCCAAACCTTTTCACCCCGTGGTACGCTTAGCTAAAAAGAAAAAAAAGAAAAAAAAAGCACCGTGGCACAACGGACACAGAGTGGTGTGGGTGGCACGTGGCCAGCCGGGCACAGTGGCGCTCGGCTGCCAGATGGCATTTTGGCTTGGAGCCACACTCCCCTTCTGTCTGTGACCACAGCAACAGCAGGTTGGGGGACGTGGCTCCAGCCCAAAATACCACGGCACACCTGGACCTGCCTGCTGGCACACCAGTTGGGAAACACTGCCTTAAAGTGACAAATACGCCTATAGCAAGTAGTGCCAGAGTGGGTGCTGCAAAGGAGGCAATGGGAGTGACCAGGGCTGCCTTTGCAGCCTCCAGAGTTAAGGTCTAGGAAGCTGTGGCACAGAGGCCACACCGGTGTCCTGGCCTAGAGGACTTCACTAGGTCCCTCCCAGCCTGGTTTTCCTACCATCCTAGGACAGGCACAGCTGGCACATGTTCCACTTTCTACTCTGGAACAGGATACCGGGCAAAGAAGAAATGGACCCAATTATGAGCTGCTTGATATGGGTCACTGTCTCCTATACTCTGCAATGTTTACTGTAAAAGGCTTCTCTATTCGGGTCTGCTACATTCACAGCCCATTAGGACCTCAAATATGAATTTAGTGAGAGTCGGCCCCGAGGAGTATATCAAAGGACTTGTACTGGGGGCGGGAACCATCTTCCAAGTGACCAATGCTTCTGTTGTTATCACTTCAGTGCAGCTGATTTAAATTCAATTTGAAGAGGATTGGGAAGTGGGTAATATTTAACATTGCCCATATTTGATGTATCAGTGGCTATAGAAAAAAGGAGGCTGAAACAGTATGTCTGCCAGCTCAGATGCATCACCCTAAAGATCCCTCTGGAGAGTTACAGAGGAGCTGCAGGTCAAAATAGAGTGAACACCTCTAGATTTACAGACCTGCCAACCATGGTCAGATCTAGGATTTTGAATAGGGATGTGCAGATGGCATGTCACATCACATATAATATAACACCTATTTTCCTTCTCTTAAAGGTAAACTCAGTGCTTTACTAATACGCTAGGGGGGCTAGCACTGTACTATTCAATTTAAGATCAAAATAAAAACAAATTATTACTACATTATATATAAAGTTTACAAAACTAAAAAAATTAAGGCGAAGATATTGTGTCATTAGTCCTATAGTCACTATAGTTAAATGCGCTTCTTTTATTCAGATTCAAAAAAAAAAAATCTAGCCTTCCTGCGGAGCTTGATGGTGCCTCTAATACTTACATCACTGTCAATCATTTCTACACCTGAGTTAAAACTACCACATTGGAGTTAAGATTTTTGGCTAGAGCTAAAATAGTCTGCAGGGTTGTGAAATAGAAAAGGGATATTACCAGGAATGGCTGACAGACAGCAAAATTGCTGAAGAAAGGATAGTTTGAACAGTGGAACATCAAGACCATTAAAAAGGAGATAGGGCTGTTAACATCTGTGCAGTGGAGACAGATTAGCAAGCTTCAGGGAGATGATAATAAGCCATGAAATCAATTGACTCTCTCAGCACTGCCTGAATAGAAAAGCCACTACTAAAGGTACACCAATACACCAGTCCATATCGTATCAGCACTAATAAAAGGAAAATTGACATTATTGGCAATTGGCTTTTTTGACTGATGTGGTCGATAATGTCCTTGATAAATGCCAAGTGCATGCGCAGCTGCACATGCACACAGGCAGTCCAGCAGCTTGGAGAGCAGCGTCTGGCTGGTAAGTCTGTTGGGGGCAAAGGCGGGGGTGGGGTGGGGATCAAGGCCCCTGCAGTGAGGGAGAGAGCGGGGCTGGGTGTGGGACGGAACCACGAGCAGCTTTTCTGGGGGGCATGGGCGCCACTGCACACATCCCAGGGGAGCCATGGGCGGGGCACATGCACCTGGATCTGTGTGCAGGACAAGGGTGGGCTGCCACTGCAGGCCAGGGCTGAGCGGCTCCAGGGTCTTTCCAGCAGGGGAGGGCTGGGCTGAGCCTCTGCTTGGGGCAGGCACCGGCGGCACTGGGAGGTGGGGGCCCCCTGGATGAGCTGCTTGCAGCTTCATCCCACCCCCAGCCCCACTCCCTCTCTCACTGCAGGGCCTCATTCGGCCCCCCACCCCTTTCCCACCAACAGACTTACCAGCCGGACACTGGTCTCCAAGCTGCCGGGCTGCATATTGGCAGTCAGATCAGTATCAGCCAATATGGTTTGTTAATAATTGGCCATTGGTTTCGGCCCAAACAATCTTTATCAGCGCACCCCTAGCCACTACCTCTCCCAGGTAATTGGTTTTAAAATTTGGTTGAAATAAGAATTGAAGTGGGTGTAACTGCACCCCTGCACCCCACTGGATCTGCCCTTACTGCTAACCTATGGTAGTTTTTTCCTTCTTTCAGGCTTAGTATGGAGAGAGAGTTTCTGATGCAGAGAATGGCTGTGATAAGTTAGACATTTTCCCAGGCAGAGGCTGCTGCTTTCATGTTTCTGCTCTTCTCTCCAGATCCTTGTGTTTCTGTAGGTGCTTAAAAAGTCCAGAAAAGAAGCAAGTGTCACTTGAAAACAAGCCAGAGTTCTCCATACTAGGTTGGAGCCCCTTTCTTATCCTTAAGGCTATCACACTTGTCCTTTGGGATTCTCTGCAATG